AAATGTTGCAAGCCGAATGTCCACATGCAAGTGGGCATCAAAATAAAAAAAACCAGTTGCAAGTTGAGTGTCCACTTGCAAGTGGCATGAAAAAACAAATGAACCAGTTGCAAGGGGAATGTCAACTTTCAAGTGGCATCAAACCAGAAAGACCTAGTTGCAAGTCGATGGTATATTTAGAAGTGGCATGCGGGCCCCCACAGTAGCGAGTCAATGGCGGACTTGCAACTAGGGCAACTACAAAAGTACGGACAAAAAACAGACTAGTTGCAAGTGAAATGATGGACTTGCAATTAGGGAAATTACAAAAGTACAGACAAAAAACAAACAAGTTGTTAGTCGATGATGGACTTGCAACTAGGGCAATTACAAACTACAAAAAAATGAGTTTGCAAGTTGATGGTAGAGTTGCAAGTGGCATGCGGGCACCCCACATTTGTGAGTCGATGGTGGACTTGCAACTAGGGCAAAAAAAACTACAAAATAAGCCGAGTTGCAAGTTGCAAGAGGCATCGAGTAAACGACCCTAGTTGCGATCTGATGGTCTACTTGCAAGTGGCATGCAGACAGCCACAGTTGCGAGTCGATGTTGGACTTGCAACTAGGGAAATTACAAAACTACAAAATAAAACAGACCAGTTGCGAGTCGGGTGTTTATTTGCAAGTGGGATGCGGGCCTCCCACAATTATGAGTCGACGATGGACTTTCAACTAGGGCAATTGCAAAAGGTACATACAAAAATAGACCAGTTGCGAGTCAAGGGTCTATCTGCAAGTGGCATGCGGGCCCCCACAGTTGCGAGTCGATGGTTGACTTGCAACTAGGGTGATTGCAAAAAATAGATACAAAAAGCTGAGTTGCAAGTTGATGGCAAGTGGCATCGAGTAAATAATCCTAGTTGCGAGTCGATGTTCTACTTGCAAGTGGCATGCGGGCACCCACAGTTGCGAGTCAATGGTGGACTTGCAACTAGGGCGATTAAAAAACTACAAAACAAAAACAGACCAATTGCGAGTGGAGGGTCCATTTGCAAGTGGCATGCGGGCACCCACAGTCGCGAGTCGATGGTGGACTTGCAACTAGGGCAATTACAAAACTACAAAAAACAACAGACCAGTTGTGAGTCGAGGGTCTATTTGTAATTGGCACGCGGGCCCTCCACAGTTGCGAGTCAATGATGGACTTGCAATTAGGGCAATTGCAAAAACTACATATAGAAAACAAACCAGTTGGAAGTCCATGGTCTAGTTGCAAGTGGCATCAAGTAGAACAACCCTAGTTGCGAGTCGATGATCTACTTGCAACTGGCATGCGGGCACCCACAGTTGCTATTCGATGGTGGACTTACAAGGAGGACAATTACAAAAGTAAAAAAATAGACTAGTTTCTAGTCGATGGTCTATTTGCAAGTAGACCATTTGCTAGTAGACGGTCAAGCTGCAAGTGGCATCGAGTAAACACCCCCGACAACCAACACAACAACAATAAGAACAACAACCAAGAACAAGAACAAAAACAACAAACATACAACAACACAAAAGAGCAGTTGCGAGTCGATGGTCTACTTGCAAGTGGCATGCGGGCCCTCGCAGTTGCGAGACGATTGTGGACATGCTACCGAGGCAATTACGAAGCAGCACACAAAAATTGGCTAGTTGCAAGTCCATGGTTGAGTTGCAACTACATCGAGTAACCACCCAAAGTTGCAAGTCGATGATCCGCTTGCAAGTGACATGCGGGCCCCACAGTTGCTTGTATTCCATCGACGTTGACAACCCTTCCCCCAACCCCTAGTTGCGGTTGCATCATATGTCCTGCAGTTGCACTAGGGTGTGCTGAGTTGCAAATTGCTCTGGGTTGGAGCGGTTGCAACTACAACAAAAAGACCTAACAAAAAAATTGGAACCGATTTCATCGGTGCCGACAACTATCCCCCGACCTCTAGTTGCGGTCACATTATATGTTCCGTAGTTGCGGTTGGAGCAGTCGCAACTCAACAAAAAGACCTAACAACAAGAAAAAAACAGACCAGTCGCGAGTCGATGGTCTACATGCAAGTGGCATGCGGGGCACCCACAAATTGTGACTCGATTGTGGACTTGCAACTAGGGCAATTAGAAAAGTAAAAAATAAGACCAGTTGCGAGTCGAGGGTCTATTTGCAAGTGGCATGCGGGCCCCCACAGTTGCGAGTCGATGGTTGACTTGAAACTAGGGCAATTGTAAACAACAACAACAACAACAACAACAACAACAACAACAACAAAAAAGCCGAGTTGCAAGTTGTTGGTCGAGTAGCAACTGGCATCGAGTAAACAACCCTAGTTGCGAGTCGATGATCTACTTGCAAGTGGCATGCGGGCACCCACAATTGTGAGTCGATGTTGGGCTTTGCAACTAGGGCAATTACAAAACTAGAAAAAAACAGACCAGTTGTGAGTCGATGGTGGACTTGCAACTAGGGCAATTACAAAACTACAAAAAAGAATAGACCAGTTGCGAGTCGAGGGTCTATTTGCAAGTGGGATGCAGGCCCCCTACAGTTGTGAGTCGATGGTTGTCTTGGAACTAGGGCAATTGCAAAATATACATACAAAAAATAGACCAGTTGCGAGTCAAGGATCAATTTGCAAGTGGCATGCGGGCCCCCACAGTTGCGAGTCCATGGTTGACTTGCAACTAGGGCAATTGCAAAAGAACAACAAAAGACCGAGTTGCAAGTTGATGGTTGAGTTGCAAGTGGCATCGAGTAAACAACCCTAGTTGTGAGTTGATGTTCTACTTGCAAGTGGCATGCATGCACCCACAGTTGCGAGTATATGGTGGACTTGCAACTAGGGCAATCACAAAACTACAAAACAAAAACAGAAAGCAAAACAAAACATATGTGATATCAACAACCCCTTATGGAGCCAAGTTCAATGGTTGAACAAATTTCTTCAGGATTTTCTATGTGATATCAACAAATACAAACAAAAAGGAAAAAGGTGAAAATTGTGTTAGGAAATAAGAGGAAAAAAGCAAAACATATTTGCAATAAAGACAAAATGACAGAACACATAAACCTCTCGTTGCTATGCATCTCCTTGATAGTTCTTGCATGTGCGTAGATTTTTTTTGTTTTCCATGCAACGTTTCCCAACACATGCAACTGGCCCCGACAACTTTCCTTCCAACCCAGACCCCCGGTTGTGCTTGGTTGTGCTGAGTTGCGATTGCGCTGGGGTTTGGGCGGTTGCAACTACAACAACAAAAAAACCTAACAAACAGAAAATGGAAACCGATTTCATCGACGCCGACAGCCCTCCGCCCGACCCCCGATTGCGGTCATGTTATATGTCTTGCAGTTGCACTTGGGTGTGCCGAGTTGCGATTGTGCTAGGATTGGGGTGGTTGCAAGTACAAAAAAATGGAACTGATTTCATCGGCGCCAACAGCCTTCCGCCCCGACCCTCGGTTGTGCTTGGGTATGCTGAGTTGTGATTGCGCTCGGGTTGGGGCGGTTGCGACTACAACAACAGAAAACCCTAACAAAAAGAAATGAAACCCGATTTCATCGACGCCGACAACCCTCCACCCATTTGGGCTTGGGTGTGCTGAGTTGCGATTGCGCTTGGGTTGGGGCGGTTGAGACTACAACAAAAAACCCTAACAAAAATATGAAAACCAATTTTCATCGACGACGACAAACCCTCCCCCCAATGCCCGGTTACGCTTGGGTGTGCTAAGTTGCAATTACGCTCAGGGGAGGGTTGTACTAACAAAAAACTAAGAAAAAAATGTCGTCATCGACCACCTTAAAGTTCAACCCAGACACCTGCTTAAACTTATTCCTTGCGGTGCATGGAATGTTCTGTTGACAAAAAAAAGGAAAAACATGAAATATATCAAAAAAAGGGGAAATTTTTTTGCTTTCATGTTAATAAAATGACGGCAAGAAAAAACAATTAAGAAAAGAAGAAAAAAGATTACAGCTGAAGCTTCAGAGTCATCACGAATAACAATGTGAAAACTCTGCTCATTATCGCTCCCACAATGCGAATGGCAGATTGGGCACACCATCCTACATATACGGGGAAAACACAAAAACATGACCTTGGGATGAATTAGAACAAGGAAAAGGTATTACACAAAAATGCGCTGCAGAAGAAAACAAAAAAATCAATAAAAAAGTTAAGGTCTGCATTCCCATAACAAAAAAAACAAAGAAAGGGCATGACACTGCGGTACTGGAGGCCGCTGATATAAATATTGGAGCAATGTGCAGCAGCCAGGATTCTCTTGCTTGCCAAAAAAAGAAAAAATTGAAGCCACTCCGTCAGCAACAGATTTGCTCATAAAAAAACTAGCAGATCCTATTCTAAGCAGGCCTGGGCTTTTGCGTCAAAAACAGTCCAGGCCGGACCGCAAAGACAAAAAAAAGGGGCCAGGTCGCGAGCCGAACACCAGATGGGCGCGCACACGTCGCTACGAAGCTCTTCACGTTGACAAACACGAATCGCGGCGTTTCCCTAAAAAAAACATGAATCGCGGCGCAGCTGGATCCGACTGTTGGAAAAGTGAATGAGACCAATCTATTTCTCATTCGAATGAGTTTTAGCAAAACCGTTTTCAATGAAAAGTTAGGGCGGGAAACCCCTTTGATAAAAAAAAGAAAGTGATGATGAAAGCTTGTTTTGAGAGAAAACTGAAAAAGACAAATCATTCCCGTGCATGCGAAATCACATGCCGTAGTTTGAATTGCAACTGTTTGTTTTGACAAATATAATTGCAGAGTTCTTTACAATCTCCTGTTCATTTTTTTTTAAAAGACGCTTACCCGGCTATAACAAATGGATACACGCACTATATATGTTTATATTTCTTTGATAGAGAGAATATTCATATGAACAAATATATGAAACTCTTACTGATGTTCTCGTATGTACATCTACAGTAAGTACAACCGACAGTCTGAAAAAATAACAAAATTCATTAAATATGTCCTCGACATTGTCTCATCACCCAACAAAAGTCTCCTCCCTATATTGTCTAAAATAGTTAGTACGATTTGAAAGAGGAGAATTGTCTTCCCATTCCATCGCCATAAAGATGAGGGGGCTACGATATCGAACATCTGGTTTTGCAGGAGCACGTGGTTGTTGAAGTTGTAGCCGACACATGGGGCAACTTCCCTTCGCCTGGAGCCACCTTTCCACGCATCGTTCATGAAAGATGTGTCCACACACCGTCTCCTTCCACGCGGTCGTTGCCCCCTCTTGATCCAAGCATATGGGGCATCCTTCACCGTCCGATGGCGCCTCCATTGGTTTTAGCACCTCGTCCACGGTGGCAGTGCTGGACTCCTCGCGCTCGGGCTGACGTGGTTCCATGGAAGAAGAACTCTCCACGCTACGAAAACACGGCACTACGGCGTGTTTCCCAGATGGCTGATCGATTGCTGACTTGGGTTTTCAGTGTTACCGGGGAATCTAGTTTCGACGGCGAAGAGTGAAGCTGGCTCGTGTGGTTCTTTGGTTGTGTTGGGAGGGCGTTTGGGTTGCATATATGGAGAGGAAAGTTGCCCGACGGGAGTAGGAGACGGTCTACGATCCACGAGTAGGATTCAGGGATGATCGACGTATACGCAGTGGAGTTTTTTCTTTTTAGGAACGTATACGCGGTGGAGTAGTACTGTACGAGCGTGATTCGGTCCCAGCCCACACTACACTGCCCCGGGCCCAGATGAGGTCGGGGGCCGAGGACGAGGACGGCGACCACACGAGGTCGAGGGCAGCGCGCCCGGCGTCGGCCAGCGATCCCTCCCAGGACTGCCACCGCAGCCCGAGGCCAAGCTGGAGGCTGGCGAGGAGGAGGAGATTGGCCGCCCCCTCGTTGGTCGTCAGGACGCGGGACACCGCGGCGTGAGCCGCGTCCAGCGCGCGAAGCGCTGCGCTGCACGTGTCGGCGGCGGCCTTCTTGGCGGCGAAGGACTTCACGGCGTTGACGCACTTGCCGAGCTCGGCGTGGGCTCCTTGAGCTCCGGGAGCTCGGCGCATCCGCGTAGCACGCGGCTGGAGTGGAGCATGCCAGGGCCTTCCACGCCTTGTCGTGTTCTTCCTCCCGCTTGGCGCTGGGGTGCGGCGCCGAGCGCGTGTCGGGGTGAACGCTCCGGTCCAGGGGAAGAAGTGGAGGCGCGAGGTCGCGGCGGATGCTCAGGGCGTCGTCCACCCCGTGGAGGTGCTCCGAGGACGCCGCCGCGGCTCTGTGGCGGCGAGAAACTTGGCGCGGAAGTAGATGTCGGGGAGGTCGCCGCGGGCAACCAGACGTGCCGCGGCTCCGAGGTGGCCGCAAGAGAGAGCCACCTCGTCCTAGGCTGCGCCGGCCCGTGCCCTGGCCTTGCGCGCCCTCGGTCGGGCCTGCTGCTCTAGAAAGTCGTCGCCGCGCCCTTGGCCTCCGCCACCTGCAGAGACGGCGTGCTGTCGTGTCCCTCGTCCGTGATCTCCGAGTCCGAGGAGTGGCCGAAGCCGTGGCGGAGCCGTCTGTCGTCGGAGCTCGCCGCCGTGAGCCACGCTTCGAGCTCACTCAACACGCTCTGGCGGCCCATGGTCGTACCTCTCTGCAGCCCCATGGTCGGCGGTGTTCACCTCCTCCTCCGTCTCTCTGGCGGACGACGGGCCGGCTCCGGTGAGCTCAAAGGCGACCGCACCTCCTTCGCTTCGTGGTCGGCACCCGGGCGTCCGACCAGGTGAGCTGGTTTAGGGTCCGCTTGGTTGTAATAAGACCTTGTTTGTTTCAAGGGACTTATTGCTTTTGGGACTTATTTAAGTTTCTATAAGTCCCATCTAAACCAAACAGGAGGGACTTATAGAGACTTAAAGTGGTGATGTAGGACTTATCAAAAAAGACCGAGCACCTGACTGTCACCTGATTTAACTTATAAGGCCTTGTTTGATTCATAAGTCTTTGGACTTTTTTTAGTCCCAACTTATAAGTCTCAAGTCTCTAAAAAGTTCCTACCTGTTTGGTTCCTGAGATTTATAAGTCTTTATAAGACCATATTACAACTATAAGTCCCTATAAGTCCCTTTTTGAGAGTCTTATTTCATAAGTTCCAAATGCCTACTTTAAGTCCCTATAAGTCCCTCCTGTTTGGTTTAGATGGGACTTATAGGGACTTATTTAAGTCCCTAGACTAATAAGTCCGTGGAAACAAACACCCTCTAAGTCAGGTGACTTAAAATCAGTGACTTACAAATCACGTTTGTTTGGTTGTCATCTGACTTATAAGTCACCTGACCACATATTCCCATCTTGTTTTTTTAATGTAAAGGTGAATTGTAAGTTTTTATTTGGGGTGGAGCAATTTATGACTTATAAGTTGGCGTGATTTATAAGTTAGGTCCGTTTGGCAAAATAAGTCACTTTCTTCACTTTTTAACTTATAAGTTGGTGACTTATTTGGAACCAAACAGGTCTTTAATGGTCATGGGCTTTTTGCAAAAAAAAAACCCAGAATCGACTAGTATTTAACCTAGTATTGACCAGGTGGCGGTCAAAGCGAGCTGGCGGCCGCTGACTCGGCCAAGTCAGCAAATACGTACATGAAATTATAAAAATGGATCAAAGTGAACCCTATATGCAAGTATTTGAACTGTAGTTAGGATGTTTTGAAGTAGTGGTATCAAACTGTCACCCCGACTTAAATTTAGTGACGTATAGTGAATTTTCTCATTAAAAAAAGAACAGCTTTCGGGCTCGAACTCACTAGCTCATGTACGAGCATGCCTTCTGCCAACCAACACACTAAGCAAATTCTCAAGTTAATACAGAGGCAAACAATAATTTATAATGAAAGCAGTTTTTTTCTTGATTATGTTTTTTTTGGCGCGACCAAAAATGCCGGTTCTCAGAAAATCTCAAAGTTTTGAATGAAATTTGAATTAAAAAAACGTCCAAGATTTCAAATGTATTTTTGAATTTAAACACGCAGAACTGTATCAAATAAAATTTTGTATGCACATAATCATACAACGCACTGCATAGCTCCATGGTCACGTGATCGATTCCAATGGTCTCCATCAATTTTTTTTGTAATTTTAGCTGATATTTACTCAAACTCACAAGTTGGGGTCACCTAGCAGATGTGCAATACTAACCGTTGGAATCGTGCATAGGCTTTGTTCTTTTCTAGGTTCAGTTTTATATATTGTAATGCCAAAAAAATTGAATTTGAATTTGTTTGGATAAATTTGGGCGAGAAAAATACAAAATTTCTGAGATTACCTAGAAACCGATTTTTCTGACGTGTCCTAAGAAAAAAAATAGGCATCGAGAAAATAATGTTGGATACAAGTAGTCGTTGTTGCCAACGTATAAAATTATGTGTTCCTCCTTAGACACATGAATAATTACGAATTTCAAAATGTTTTTTTTGGCTCACCCTAAAAAATTCTTTCAGATAAATCAGATTTCTTTTGAATTGGACTAATTTTATGGTTGTCCCGCCAAAAATATATTATTCGTTGTGTTGACCAATATAATACAGTATTCATTTCATTATTAGACTGGAAAGGAATGCCTTGTGTGCGTGGTTAGCTCGCGTGACAAGTTTGAATAGGTTGCTGGTCCGATAGCTGACATCACGATTATTTTTAAATCTTTTCTGCAAAAATGTCGTCACACCTAGCGCCTCCACCACCTAGAGTCTGACAGTGGGACCATGCACGCATGGCGTGCCACGCGTGCGGCGGATACGCCTGCATACGCACTTTGTGACCGTATTTGCACGAGAACGCAAGTTGAGTTACCATAAATTCATATTTTTAAAATTTTAACACCAAACTGAACATTCAGAGTAAGTTTTATGACTCCTGGTGATATTACCTCTATTATCTATACATCGTGTTCATCTTGTTGTTGTGAAAGAGGTAAAAACATCGGGAGTTTTAAAACTTGCACACAGCGGTCACTTTGGTGCATAAAATTGTAAATACGTGATTGGGGTCATCGAACTTGCACGGGCGTACAAATATAGTTACATATCCTGTATGCAGGCGTATCCAGTGCATGAGTGGATGCCGGCATGGAAGGGCCCACTGTCAGTGACAGATGGCACTCCGCGAGACGCATTTTTTGCCAAAAAAAAAATCTCAGTTTTGTATCTGCAAAAAATGCCAACTGTGTTAGTCTCGCGTGCCAATACAAAGATAAAATGAATACTCCATCCGTTCGAAAGTACTAGTCGAAGAAATTAATAAAAATAAATGTATTTAAACCAACAACCGAATAGTGCGGGCATCGGTTTTCGAATATATATATCCATTTCTGCGACAAATAGTGCGGGCACCGGTTTTTGAACCAACGACCGAACACTGGTACAGCAGGGGCTCCAGCCACTCCAACATACACCAGATTTCCCTGTATGAGAGAACTCCCCATTAATATGTTGCGGTCGGCCCATTGTGCACTTTCCCTCTTTTAAAGATTCATAGATAGTACTCCTTTCGTCCGTAAATATTTATAAGAAAAATGGATATATTGAGACATATTTTAGTTCTAAATACATCCATTTTTATCCATTTCCTCAACAAGTCTTTTCGGACAAAGGGAGTGTGTAAATTATAATCTCAGTAATAAAAATAACATTGAAATATATGTGTGTTATATTGTATATAGAAATGAAATAATTTACTTTCAAAACTTGTTTATTCATTATTTTTAAAATATTTTTTATATTGAAAATAATATTTATGAAGTATAAAATGTCTGAGATCATCAAATAAATATCTGTTGTGCACATGAAATGACTTAATACAAGTAAAATGTAGAGCCAATTGTTTTTTAAATATAACATGTGTATTACATAAAACAAATTTAATTCAGACATTTATTTATTTTATTAAAAAATAATGAATAAAAGTAAAATGTAGAGCCAAATGTTTATTTAAATTTAAAAATGATAAATACAAATATTTACTATATATTTATGAATATTCACTTGTGTATAATTTTTATTCATGACACATATTCAAAAAAAATTATATAATTAAATGTTAGACACAACTGAATATATATTTTGGATATATGCAGACTGATATGTACGTATCCTTGAGAGAATGCTCAAGTTGTAAACTTTTAGTGAACATTTGATAGCGTTTCACCCCTAGGCCTGTTGCCAGGCTTCTTTTGTCACGCCCCGAGACCGGGCTTGGCGAGACAGCCGCCGTGCGCCTATAGATCAGAGGCCTACAGTCACGCAAGGCGTGATTAAGCAGGCACAAACCAGCAGTGGATCACAAAAGCTCATATATTTACTATTATAAATTCTTTACATTTACAAACATCTCAAATAAATCAGTCTATAGTCACTTCCCACCCACTGGTCCAGTCTAATTTTGGATGACGACATTTTCTACACATGCTTACGCTAATCAGCGACTGCATCTAAAGAAAAATAGAGGAAGCATGGGTGAGTATGACAAGTCATACTCAGCAAACAGATACCTCACTGGTCAACATGGAGAATAATACGATGATGTAGATTAATAGATGAACTGAACAAAATAATAATCATTTGAACATTTTCAAAGGGAATGAGCAAAAGGAATGACATGATCGGATTTAGTGAAAACATACAAGAAAAATATTGGTATCATATATGACCGCAAACTTTCCAACCCGGGAGTCACAGGGGTGAAATTTCACACTTTTACGCTCTTAAGAGGGGTACTCCGACGTCGACAGTCTCGACTAGAACCACACGGACTAGTAGAGCAGAGCTCTTGTACCCACTAAGACCCGAACAGCTGGACCTACTGATGTCGGTCGCTCCTACGGATCCATCACCGACACGTTCCTGAACAAGGGCCGTCCTTAGCGGAGAACTCAGACAGTCCCATGCCTAAACTGTGACCGGTACAATACATTTGTCGTCGTGACACGAATACAAAATAGGATGTGTGTTCGAATCAACGGTAGGATCATTGGAATATCAGTCAAAGAAAATATGTTCATGACTTCTCATGAGTTCCTCCAAAATATTTTGATTCCATCAACAAATGGATTACAAGGACAACACATCCCTCTCTCAAGGATCAACAGAGGATCAATAAGGATCAAGATGCAACAATATAATTAGATACTCAAAGAAGACAACAATAAGGCATGATCAGAGAGTTTAGCAAAGCATCTACTTGCCTTAGATAATATGATTTCTCCTTTAGAATAATATTCGGCTAGGAGAGAAACTCCATCATCATTGTATAAAATCTCATAACTATACGTATGCTAATATTCTCCATACATATCACTCGGCTCTTCTCTTCAGCAGCACGTGCACGCTCTGTAATATATCTTCCAAAAATGAACGCATGCATGAATTCTCTCTCTCTCTCTCTCTCTCTCTCTCTCTCTCTCTCTCTCACGCTCTCTCATTTCTCACTTCTTTTGTGGTCTTCCCGCCTTTCTTCTCAGTTTTGTGTGTGTGTGTGTGTGTGTGTGTGTGTGTGTGTGAAGTGCAAGTGAGCGGGTAGTACCAGCAGCTATATATAGGGGGTGAGCACGGTGTGGACTATCCTAAATATCAAGCCGCAGTGACTCTTGGAGCTGACCTTTGGAGCTGTGAAGGAACGCTGGCCTACGACTCACCTTTGGAGCTGTGTAGGGAATGCATCAGTACACATAGGAACTTAGCTTCCTGGCCATTCTGTGCTGCCAGCACATCCCAATTCTTCCTAGTACTAGGCCACGTTGCATTCTCATGATTGACTTGTGCTCCTAGCTACATTGCACCGATCAGGCCGACATGACGGCAAACCTCCACGTATATACTTCTCTTTCACATATTTTTACACACTTACAAGCTTACTTAGCGTGGGAGGAATCCTACAGACGTGTACATCTTCCTTGTACCTCATAATTAACTAGCTAGCTTATACTATCAACTACTGCTACATGCAAACACCACCACGTGAGTGCATGTATGCCATTCTCACGTGCGCACAAATACACACTCTATCTAATTGTGTGGTTATTCCATCTAATTTTTATTGCTACAAAGATTTTCTTGTCTATTATATTTCTTTTATACACTGGTCTAGCCTATCTTATTTACTCAATTACTTGTTTAAATGAACAATACAAACTTAATTATTCCTCTTAATTTAAATTACATAAAATAATAACCTTGAAAATCCGGGTTATTACATCTTTTAAGCAAGCCATCCCTGGTGTATTGCATCATCATATAGTGGGGGGTGGCTCGGGCTCGCTCTCTGTTCATGGCAGTGGCGACGCCCAAATCTAAATCTAGAGTTTTATGCTCAACGCTATTGTCATAGGTGTCTCCTGGTGGCACGTGTGAGCTACCAAGCAAAAACTCCGTGCTTTGGTGCGGACGGCGGCAATGTTTGTGGGTGTCGCTCTCCTCTTGAGGACGTCATTGTGGTTCTTCTCATTGTGCAAGGGTTCCGAGTGAAGACCCTCGTCTGTCTTGGAGTCGATAGCGGGTGATGCTCTGCGTCCTTTCCACTTGGTGTCGTGGAGCTTAGGTATCCTAATGTGTGTCGTCTCATTATATTCAGGCCATTGGCTTGTGCCTTATTTATAAAGTGGAGCGAGAGCCCGTTTCAAGAGAAAACCTGAAAAGACAAACCATTCTAATATATGAGATATTATCAGTCATAGTTCAAATTGCAACCATTTGTTTTGACAAATATAGTTGCAGAGTTCTTCTTACAATCTCATGTTAAACATTTTTAGAAAAAGGCGCTTGCCCTGCTT